TATTTTAGTAATGTAACAGTACTTAAGAACAAATTTTCAGTACTCTTTCTACCACTGAATTTGGACCATAGAGGTTTAATGAGGTAGGTTGCATGTTAGTTGTAATGTGTTAGTAGCAGGCGCGCTGGAAGCTGTTTCATGCGAGGGGGGCTGAGGGCTGGGTTGGAAAATATGTGACGTCATTGTGTTATGGCTGACGACAAGACATGACATTTCTCTGTATATGTTGTAGCCATTAAAGAAAACATATTTAGTTTCATATTTATGTTTAAATATTATAGGCTAATGTTATTTTTTATTTAACCCCTTACTAGTCGGCCCCAATTTTGGCAAGTGAAGCATTCATGACATACCCAAAATAAAAAGGTTGCTGCTCTTAAGTCATTCTGAATAGACACATAACCAACATATATTTAGAAAGCCAACCCTTGAGAGTTTACATTTCAAGACTCAAAATTAATCAGACTGTTATTAATATTGAGATATATAAGCTCAAACATAAAAACAAAAACAACAAATATTAAGAACATATTTATTAAATGTATAAAAATATTATGTGAATTTAGGATAGCAACTTGAAACCACAACTAAAGTGTAGCCACAATTGTGGTCATGCTTCATTTAAAATCTGAGGATGATATTTCTAAAATTATGCATTTTATTAAGCCTATTGTGAAACCATGTCAGGAGAGAGTTTAGAGAAGTTTTATAGGATGCTAATATAAGATTTTCATCAAATATTTTATTGCCCTGTAAACACCCATTTACAGTCTCTGACTAATGTCTGGCGAGGAGAACTGGCCCATTCATGTTCTTTTCATTTAATCGACCAACCTTTCACACCTATGCCGGTATGAGACTTAATCTTCATTATTCTTTTATCCTTATTCTTTTGTTTGAATTCAGCCATTATAGCCTATATTGGCCATCTAAACCTCTCTGATCCCACCCTACATGATCAATCCATCTATTATATTAAGTCTTGTTAGAAAACAAACAATTCTTGGAACTTTAAATGCGAATTATTTTTTTTTTTAAATGATTGTATGAAATGGAATAGCTTCTGCAAGCAGGTGCATTAGCACAAGTAGCCTCGAGCTACATGACACAATTTAATGTATTAATATTACACTTTTATTCAAAGTTCACTTTAAAACAACATCTAGTATGTGTATCATATGCCGGTCGCGGATTAAAATGGTTTCAAGTCATGAAAAGATTTTGAAATATGTTATATTTAGCATTTCAGATGAAGCTATGGGCTAGCATTTCCTAGCATATGCATTCTGTAAACATTCTGTATTGATATGAAAACCCCAAATCGCACGAAAATCAAACACAAAACACATAATATTTCAATCGTGCATTTATTAGTTCCTTGTTTCGGGTGAAGAGATGTCAGTTTCGCTTTGTTATCACGGATGTCCAGTATGAGGAAGTGTACACATGACGCGTCATGCAGAAGAGGTCACGCTAGACCACGTGAGATGATTGACAGCTGTACAGCGAATGATATAGCTTTGAGGTCAAATGTGACGCGATTCAGGAAGAGAAGACACACATCTCGCTCTGTTCGCTGTCTGAGCTCTTTAGATCGCACATTTCAGTGGTAAATGAATAGAAATGTTATTCTTTATGAAGAAATATTTTACTAGCATGTGATAATTATTAATCATTTCTCCAAATATGCGCACCATTGGACTAATAGCCCTGGCGGATGCTGTATATTGTATGTATTTGAACACAAATAAACCGGAGAACACGAGAATTAATGTTTTATGAGTGATGATTTCTATTCAAAATAACGAACATTACAGATTAATTATTTTGCACTCCTGGCATAAATTAAGAAATTAATATCACTGCAAACCAGTTAAATCATAAACAGTGGTCAAACATCGAAGCTGTAGACTTCAACCTTTCTTATGATGCTGAGTTCGTCCAGATCAAGTAAGAGTGAGATGTTTTGACAAGTAATGAATTTTGAACAACACTAATCCGGGATCACCAGTGATCCCTGCCTATCAAGGAGCCGTATGTAAGATTGTGGCCAAAACTGGTACTGCAATCACTTTAAAATTACTGTAGAGCGGCGTATCCCCTCCCCTCCCCCCTGACTCGAGGTTGCCATAGGCTGCAGGATCCAACATTTTCTTTATCCGACACGTGTGTAGCTGCAGCTGTGGTAACTAGAGCAGAGCTGGCAACCCGGATGCTGCAACACTACTGACTTCGTGATTGGTAGATCGGTGGAGGGCGGAGCATCAGACCAAAACACAACATGACAACATCAACATCAGTTGAGGGCTGCAACTTCACTTTTTAAATGACAATATCCTGGCTGGACTACTGTTGCCAGTGATATAAGTATTTGAAATGAACATGATTTCTTAATGTCTAGTGACATATAAGGGCCATTTTATCATTATTTGAAATAAATTTCTTACATACAGCTCCTTTAATCAATGTTGATTATGAAAGTGAGCGTGCAGCGTGAGAAAGACATGATACATGAGATCATGAGATACCCAAAATGTCTTTGTTGTTGTTGTTGTAGAAAGACTCTTTTAAAAATATTTTCGTTTAGTATAAATTGTATCTTAATTTTGATATGTTTTATCAAACAATTGCCTGTATTTAATAGCTAAATAAGAAGCAAATATAGCAGACAATGTAAGGCGCCGGCGATCACTTGCATTGCACGTAAACTGGAGGGCGCCGAAACTCAGCTTGTGCCTCACAGATTTTATAAATATAGGATATCTATTAGCTTGAAATGTCTTCTTTTAAACGAAACTATTCAAAACGAAAAGAAATAGACGACTCTCTGATTATGTAATCAAATGTGCATTTCTCTCTGGCGTTCATGGCGAGTCCGCATAACTTCATCTTTGCAGCGACACAGAAAACACCTGTTTATTAATAAACAATTAAATGTCTCCTTGCTATTTTTGACACATTAATAATCATTACTTTTGCCGGTTCTTTGTGGCAAGGTTTATGAGTGCGGGCGTGCGCTTGAGTGCGGCTATATTAGGCTACGTAAACGCTCATCCTGTAGCCTATTTAAGTAATTAAATCAATATAAAGAGGGGCGATGTGTCCACAGTGGCTAAAATGAACAACTACTAATCGACTAGAAGAAAACTTTAGTCGGAGGCAGCCCTTATTCCACATATTTTCCAACCAGCAGGCCATTCAGGGTTGAGCGCGCGACCCTGAGCGGAATGAGCGAGCGGAGGGATTCAGAAATGCGCTCTCCGCTCACATGCTCTGATCGGAACAAACTAAGCATGACAAATTCAAACTTTATTTCATTTTCTCAAACTCAAACACAGCATGTCTATTTTCATTTTTCCCCCCACGTTTTATTATGTTAGTCCACAGCCCCCACCAAGGGGGCTGTGGCTATGACGAGGGGGGCTGCAGCCCCCGCAGCACCCCCCTTCCCGCGCTACTGGTTATGAGCTAAATCACACATGTTCTTCTATCTGGCAAATGCATGCATTATTGCAATTGCAAATGATGCATACTGTGCAGTAAGCCTGCACACACATGCATCCACATGCTAATAAAAACACACAAACACAACAGAAGTTATATTACAGAACACAAGAATTCACTGTTGTATCTCTTATTTCTTAGAATAACAAAAGAGCACCAGGACAATTCTCTGTTGCAATCACCACATGGGTGAGTACAACACTTCTTTCAACAGTTTTGCTCTAATTTATTGTGACTTGTGTGCTGGAAACCGGATTTTATTCAGAGCCCAGGAAATGCAATCCAATAAACTCACAAATGTATGTATTTTATGTAATGGCAGTCACTGAACTTTATTTTGCAGAAGTTTTGTTTATGTGGTGGCTTCCTTTAACTACCGCTTTAAAACCGCAACATCAAAACAAGATTACAAAGGAACTGCCTACAAACAAAAGTACAAAATCAGGGGTATAGGAGTTGGAGAGGAAATGTTAGGATTTGAGGAAGTCAATGATCTAGATTGTCTTAACACTTTGTAAATTGAAACAGGACGAGAAAGGGAATCTGTTTTAATATTTCCTAAATTCTGTTTTAATTTTACCAACAATCTGTTTTGCATTTGACTTTTTTTTTCTTTTTTTTTCATATATGCTATTTAGAAAGAGTGGCTACATAGGACTGAAGTATGTGAGAAGATGCTGAAGTATTGATGGCCAAAACTGTAAAGAGCTTTGAAAGTTATCGTTAGATTTTTCAATTGAATGCAGAAGTTGACAGTTAACCAGGGGAACTGGTTTTGGTGTAACGCCCTGCTGAGTTTTAAAGGTGCTGTATGTAAGCATAAACATACCATAATATGTTTGCAGATATTTAGGAAACATGTTAAGTTCTCATACTCGTTTCTCTGAAAAACACTTCCACAGCAGTTATTTTACTTATTATTTTACACTTTCCGTGTTGTCAGTCAGTTTTTGTTTTGGTCTGTGTGATCTCGCCCACTCCCAATTCACCCAATAGTATTTCGACACCCCGGGGTGCCACTTGGCAGAAAACACTACGTATTAAAGCATAAAACAAGCAAACAAACTGGGTCAGAGATTGCAGATTCCACACAACCTAAAAAGCCTCGATATCCATATCTCTATGAACGAGAGCATATTAAAACGTGGATAAATCAACTCATTAACTTACAGTCTGTAAGTCTCCTGGCTTTCGTTGTCAATTTCGCACGTTCCTGTTGCGTGTCCTCAAACTGGCAACCCGCGTGAGCGTCGAGTCTGAGGAGGAGGGGGCGGGGAAACAACGATCTCTGATATTTTGAATTTGGACTGCAGTACCTATTTCCACCACTAGCTGTCATTCTTACAGACAGCACCTTTAACAATAATAAAGTCAATTAAGAGCTTTAGATGTTAAGATCCATGTTCAGCCCACTGTAAGACACATCATCTACAACAGACGTTTGAAAAGTCAAAACACAGTCTAAAATAATGAGGAATAACAAGCTTTGCGTGTAGGAGATAATTACAAGATATCACAACTGTTCACAACTGATTTTGTTTTATTTTTGTGCAGGCTTTCATACAATCAGCCCAGTGTAGTGGGGTAAGAACATAAACTGTTCTTTTTTTATAGCCTACATATATTTTCTTTTATACTACTATGCATTTGTATTTCATGCATATGTGTTTGAATTTCTTTCTTTAAAACAGTCCAGATGGCAAAGTTGTTCCCTTGACCCCATGGTTGGCCCCAGTTGTATGGGAAGGAACTTTTGATCCCACTTTGATTGATTCAATCTACATACAACAAAACATCACCATAGCAACTACAGTCTTCGCTCTTGGAAAGTGAGTTCATATATCTCTCCTATCTCTGTATTAATATTATCAATATTAAATAATAAATAAATATTTAATCAATATTAAATAATAAAGAATGACCTTTCAGCAATGCTATACACTGATTTCACGCAGCCGTTATTTTGAAATCGAAAGCGAGGCTCCGGTGGGAAGTAAACCAGAAGTGCCGCCTTTAATCACAGGAGAGTCACGAATGCGTTGGCGTATTGTTGTGTTTAATGTAGAAATGAGTTGTTCAAAAAATTTACATATTTCTTTCATACTTTAGACTATACAGTGAATTCATTTATAAATATATATATATATATATATACATATATATATATATATATATATATATATATATGTATATTATATATAATTCAGAAAGTAAAAAAGAAGAACCAGGAACAAACTATATACATCCTATATTGGATATTAACATCCAAAAGTGTAAATAGCGGCAGCAGCTTCAGGTTGGTAGTCCAAGTCTTTACTTCCGGGGCTCTTCCCACCGGAGCCTCGCTTTCGATTTCAAAATGGTGGCTGCGTGAAATCAGCGTATTAGGTAACCAGACATTTTTTCTGTAATCTGGCCAAAATTACATTTTATTAAAGGCAAAGTGCTACACACGGGCTAATTAAGACAGTACTGGCTTTGACTAATGCTAGACTAAGACAATCTTCTCAGCTCCTCAAATTCATAAAACATTACCCTTTATACACTCACCTAAAGGATTATTAGGAACACCTGTTCAATTTCTCATTAATGCAATTATCTAATCAACCAAACACATGGCATTTGCTTTAATGCATTTAGGGGTGTGGTCCTGGTCAAGACAATCTCCTGAACTCCAAACGGAATGTCAGAATGGGAAAGAAAGGTGATTTAAGCAATTTTGAGCGTGGCATGGTTGTTGGTGCCAGACGGGCGGGTCTGAGTATTTCACAATCTGCTCAGTTACTGGGATTTTCACGCACAACAATTTCTAGGGTTTACAAAGAATGGTGTGAAAAGGGAAAAACATCCAGTATGCGGCAGTCCTGTGGGCGAAAATGCCTTGTTGATGCTAGAGGTCAGAGGAGAATGGGCCGACTGATTCAAGCTGATAGAAGAGCAACTTTGACTGAAATAACCACTCGTTACAACCGAGGTATGCAGCAAAGCATTTGTGAAGCCACAATACGCACAACCTTGAGGCGGATGGGCTACAACAGCAGAAGACCCCACCGGGTACCATTCATCTCCACTACAAATAGGAAAAAGAGGCTACAATTTGCAAGAGCTCACCAAAATTGGACAGTTGAAGACTGGAAAAATGTTGCCTGGTCTGATGACTCTCAATTTCTGTTGAGACATTCAGATGGTAGAGTCAGAATTTGGCGTAAACAGAATGAGAACATGGATCCATCATGCTTTGTTACCACTGTGCAGGCTGGTGGTGGTGGTGTAATGGTGTGGGGGATGTTTTCTTGGCACACTTTAGGCCCCTTAGTGCCAATTGGGCATCGTTTAAATGCCACGGCCTACCTAAACATTGTTTCTGACCATGTCCATCCCTTTATGGCCACCATGTACCCATCCTCTGATGGCTACTTCCAGCAGGATAATGCACAAAGCTCGAATCATTTCAAATTGGTTTCTTGAACATGACAATGAGTTCACTGTACTAAAATGGCCCCCACAGTCACCAGATCTCCACCCAATAGAGCATCTTTGGGATGTGGTGGAACGGGAGCTTCGTGCCCTGGATGTGCATCCCACAAATCTCCATCAACTACAAGATGCTATCCTATCAATATGGGCCAACATTTCTAAAGAATGCTTTCAGCACCTTGTTGAATCAATGCCACGTAGAATTAAGGCAGTTCTGAAGGCGAAAGGGGGTCAAACACAGTATTAGTATGGTGTTCCTAATAATCCTTTAGGTGAGTGTATATATTGCAAACAAGCAGAGACGATCCACACTGCATGAGGCGCTTCATTCACGATAGAGGCAGGGCGGAGTTATGAGCTTTTGACAACAGTTTGAGGATCCAATGGAGTTGGAAGCAAAATCCACAGACAGATGTAAAAGGTGACAAATAATAGATGAAAAATGTAGGCCTAGATACAAGGTTTCTACCCGACAGCGACGATATATAAACCTGTTTATCTAGTGCAGTAACAATCCACCCCTTGACCTTCAACCCCTCAATTTTTAGACAGTTTCTACTCATATTTACTCTTCAGGAAGCTCCATATACCACAATGCAACACGATTGTGACATCACAGCAGATCGTACTTAAGTTACCCCCACCCCACACAATTCTAGTATATATGAATTATTTTGAGATTTAACCGCATCCAGTACTTGTACCTACCGGCTAATTCGGGACAGTTAGCAACCCTATCTTCATCATCCCAAAAGCACGCTCTATAATGGAGCGTGCCCTGGAATGATAAAGATTAAAGCGCTGGGCTCCCACACCTCGTACTGGCCTCTTGTAGGGAGTGATGAGGGGGAGCGGGTGTTGGAGACATTGGTACCCTCCGTCTGCGAGGATGAAGTGCCCTGGAGGAGAATAAACTGACCTCCTTTACAGTGGGCTGTACCGGAGCACTCGTGCATCATGCATTGACCCGGGCCAGCCCACGTAGGTGTCAATGAAGCGAATCGAATGACTTGGTGGCGAATGGCCACCACCTCCTCAGCGATTCGGTGGACAGTGGAACGAGGCATGTCAAACACTCCGGAGACAACCCTGTATGATGTACCACACGCCAGCCAGAAAATAAATACCAGGGTCTCTATTGTGGAACCCCATCCGTGTTGGCGTTCAGTCCTCAACAGGTCCAGCAGCACTCTCGGGGCCTCCCTGCTCAGCCTGGTCTGATTTAGGGAAACAAACAAAAGAGTTTTAGTAAACTTCTTTTAGTAAGTAGGCTATTAATGGCACATTGGGGAAATATTACTAGTTACATTTAAAACCTTACTTATGTACAAGTGTTATCTTACTTAATGTACTAAAGATATCAAGAGCAAAAGTAAATGTATGTATTCTGCATAAAAAACCCTCATCAGGGTTTTTAGATATGATGTTGTTGCATTAATATTACTGCTGTGCTATGTGTATGTTGCATTTTAATTCTGAATATGTTGAAGGGTGTTATATTTAAAGTACTTTATTGTTGAGTAGTTTACTATACCACAATGCATATTGTAAAAGATTTTGTCACTCTCCCTCTCTGTTTTTCAGGTATACACAGTTTCTTAAAGATTTCCTTGAGTCTGCAGAGCAGAATTACTTTGTTGGACTTCGTGTGCATTATTATGTGTTCACTGATCAACCAGAACAGGTTCCTGCAGTAAAACTGAGTGAAGAACATCATCTGACGGTGTTGACAGTACCTAGTTCTAACAGATGGCAGGAGATCACTTTGAGCAGGATGGCAAGACTGGAAGAACTGATTGAGAGTCGATTGGTCAATGAAGCCGACTATGTTTTCAGCCTTGATGTGGATACAAAGTTCTATGGTCGCTGGGGGGTGGAGACTTTGGGTCGTCTGGTAGGTGTGATACATCCTGGTTATTATCAAACACCTCGTGAACAATACCCATATGAGCGCAGACCAGAGTCTCAAGCTTTTATTCCTTCTTCTGAGGGTGATTATTATTATGGTGGGGCTGTGATCGGTGGCTTAGTGAAAGACGTACATGAGGTTGCTAAAACCTGCCGGGAGCAGCTGGACATTGATGCATCTAAATCCATTGAGGCAGCATGGCAGGAGGAGTCTCATTTGAACAAGTACTTCCTTTATAACAAACCCAGCAAGGTGCTCTCACCCGAATATCTGTGGCAGGACTTTAAACCTCACACAAACGAGGTCAAAATCATTCGCTTTTCTCAAGTTATTAAAAACTACGCTGCTGTTCGACCAAACCCATAGCAGCTGTTAACTTAAACGTGCAAAAACAAAACCTGCCAAATATTTTTCCATCAGCTACACAACATTTGGAATTGAAATATATATGATCATACTTTTTTTTTGTTACTTTTTTACTAATTTTTTACTAATCTCAAATGCTGGTTAAAACTCAGTTATCAGCACTTGCATAGGTGAAGGGAGAGGCAAAGAAATGCATCTAAAAAAACTGGTGAAAGATTATATAAATTTGATTATTTATATATATATATATATATATATATATATATATATATATATATATATATATATAAAACTAAAACCTTATTTCTTATTGAATTGGAGAATTCTTATTGTGAATAACAAATTACTAGTATTTGTACTTTGCAGGAGATTACTTCATATTTATTTTTATTTGTATCACTCTGGGTTTGGGTTTCATAATAGACTATGTCAGTATAATGGTCATATGTGTTCTGTCTCTTATGTATATGGAAGGAATGTCACTGTGATCCTTACAGATCAAAGTTCACATAAAAAAAAATGTCATTATTTTTTTCACTCTTATGTTGTTCCAAATCAAAGTAAAGCAGTGTCAGTGAGTGGAAAGTGTTTTCATGTTCAGTTTTCACTGAGGAAAACCATAGTGTGATGAGGGTGAACGCCACGAAAACTTAACAGTGGATGGGAAACTGTCTCGTATCGCTCCTGCATCACATAATAATAATCATTTATTTGATTTGTAATGCACCTTTCTCAAACTTAAAGCGCTACAGCATGTAGAGAACAAAATAAATAAAACAAGGAGAAATAAATACAAATATCAAAAATAAACTGTAATAAATTATAAATTAAAAGCTTGACTAAAAAGATGTTTCTTAAGAAGTTTCTTAAAACAATCAACAGAAGCAGCATTCCTAATAGATGCATAATGAGTTCCATTAATTTGCGCGTAGATAGGCCCTTCCCCCATGGTTTTGAATTTACAACGAAGCTGACAGCCAGCGAGAGAGAGAGAGAGAGAGAGAGAGAGAGAGAGAGAGAGAGAGAGAGAGAGAGAGAGAGAGAGAGAGAGAGAGAGAGAGAGAGAGAGAGAGAGAGAGAGAGAGAGAGAGAGAGAGAGAGAGAGAGCAGAGCGGATAGAGCAAGCAGAGCTGCCAACTTTTGAGTTTAGCTTGGCGTGAGACTTCTCCAACGGGGAGGGGGTTGTGTTGCGAAAGACACGCAGGCTCTCTTACGCCGCCTTCACACTGGCAGATGAAATCAGCTCCGTAATACCCAAGGGGGTAATCCATCGACCGGAAGTTGAAGCCGGCCGGGTGCCGCCATGTTGTAGCAGAACTTCACTTGCGTTAGCATTTCCATTGACTCCCAGTCATTTTGGCGTCACTTTGACAGCGAATAACTTTACATCTGAGGCGTTTAAAGACTCCATTTGTCCATTATTTATTTCTAAAGAAACACGACAATGTATAAAGGGCTCCATTACCTTCTATGTTACATTATGGCCCCGTAGAAACAGATTTAGTAAAAATAGGCTAACGATTGCGTCATAACCACTCGACTCTCTGTCGCGCTGTACAGAAATTACCGTACAGACAGCAGGAGAAGCTCGCAGGCAATCGGGGGGACGTCCCGTCAAGGGAGAAGCCCATAGATAATGAGTCCATAAAAGCAATGGAATACTTACTCCTGCTCACTCACGCCAAAGAACTCTTTGCTCAAGTTTCCCGTCTCTGCAAGATTAACATTGGCAGTTTTCACGCACAGCTACTAGAAGATTAACGTCTGTCAGACAGGTTGCTCACGTCATCAAGCTTAGTTTGAGTCGGTCTGAGTCTGCGCGTCAGGAACGGAAGTTCTCAAAAATCGCTAAAAGTGGGCTTCAACTGTCTCAACTGAGTTCCAATGAGATCGCTCTGTCCATTTCTTTTACTGTCTATGGTAATACCCAACGGACGTCGTACTACACAATGAAAAGCGTCGGAAGTGGGTAGAACAAAAATGTCGGAGAGATTAGAAAGGTTGATTCTGTCAGTTCTGTATGATCTCTCTGATGAGGGTTATAGAGATATTAATAGGAAGGCTGCGGCGTGAGGAAAGTTGCTCAGGACGTTGACATGTCAGGTCGGCTAAAAAATGTGATATAGTGGTATAATTTATACCACTATATTACATTTAGTTCGATGTCTGCCTACAATTTAATTGTATTAACTGCCCTAATAACGTTAGCAAATCATGAAAATAAAAAAATTACATGACAACTTAACTTTTAATAAAATAAATAATGATTTTAAACGATAAGAATTCAGGTTTGTTTATCAGCATCATAGCAACGCTAACTTCCGCTGGAATTGTCGGATAGGAACCGTCCGTAGCTTTTCGCAAGAGTTCAATTTTTTGAACGCATCCGGATGACCAACGGATACGATTTTCTTCGCACCGCACTCGGTCGGACCCATTCGCATGCGGTCTCCGAATCTCCATAGGAAATGAATGACTTCCGGTCGTTTCGGAGCCGTATCGAAGCTGATTTCAACTGCCAGTGTGAAGGCGGCGTTACCTCTCTGCCGTCGTGCGCGTGCGGGGTTAGGAGCGCGCCGTTAGGAGCTCAACACATCTGTCTCGCTTGCACGCTCGCTATAGATTACAGGATATTTTAACTAATTTGAGGTAAAACTAGTCGATCACGAATGGCTCAACTGGTAGATCTATAGATAAACTTATCTTTCAGGCATTTGACCGACCGGGTTGACACCAAGGGGGTAATCCATCGACCGGAAGTTGAAGCCGGCCGGGTGCCGCCATGTTGTAGCAGAACTTCACTTGGGTTAGCATTTCCATTTACTCCCATTCATTTTGGCTTCACTTTGACAGCGAATAACTTTACATCTGAGGCGTTTAAAGACTCCATTTGTGCATTATTTATTTCTAAAGAAATACGACAATGTATAAAGGGCTCCATTACCTTCTATGTTACATTATGGCCCCGTAGAAACAGATTTTGTAAAAACAGGCTAACGATTGCGTCATAACCACTCGACTCTCTGTCGCGCTGTACAGAAATTACCGTACAGACAAGAGGAGAAGCTCGCAGGCAATCGGGGGGACGTCCCGTCAAGGGAGAAGCCCATAGATAATGAGTCCATAAAAGCAACGGAATACTTACTCCTGCTCACTCACGCCAAAGAACTCTTTGCTCAAGTTCCCCGTCTCTGCAAGATTAACGTTGGCAATTTTCACGCACAGCTACTAGAAGATTTACGTCTGTCAGACAGGTTGCTCACGTCATCAAGCTTAGTTTGAGTCGGTTTGAGTCTGCGCGTCAGGAACGGGAGTTCTCAAAAATCGCTAAAAATGGGCTTCAACTGTCTCAACTGAGTTCCAATGAGATGGCTCTGTCCACTTCTTATACTGTCTATGGTTGACACTTCAGCGTGAGAAATCGGGGGTGTGGCGTGAGAGCGTGAGTCTCACGCTGTATGCGTGAGAGTTGGCAGCCCTGTATGGATGGAATAACCCATGATGTAGCCTACTGCAGGTTAAAATTTGAATTTTAAAATCAATACGTGATTGAACTGGAAGCCAATGCAGTTGCTGGAGTATAAGTCAAAACGCGCGCGGCTGAGTATGGCATTCCGATCGGCTCTTTAATATGGCGCATACTCCGTGCCAAACATCCATTTCCATAGTGAACGTGCGTCTGCCATACACGTGGAGAACGTGCGTCCGTGCGTCTGCCATACTCTGGAGCTATCTATTTTTCCTTATTTTCTCATACATTTATTGTTATAGACACTATAATAGATAATCTTATTTTGACACAGTTTAAATGTGGGACTACATTTGATATACTTATTTCTATAATGCTGAATTTCTGTTAATGTACAATACATTTGGTATCCCAATGATATATGTAACTTTGTTAATATAAGTCTATTGTCATGTATTTTGATTATACGACCTTCTTAGAGACAAATAAAATGGGCTTGTAAAATTCAGAAAAAGTGGGTATTATTATTTATTTGTTTGTTCAAGATTTGTTAATGCTCTGCAGCAGGCAGTCTGCATGCCTCAAGTTCACTCATAGACAGAGCCAATCCTCCCTATACGCACACTACGCAAGTTGCGTAGGGCCCCGCCTCCCCCTCGTGTCAAAGCGCATCAATCAAAGTTTACAACATCGATGAGATAATTAAGCGGAACCAGAGCCATAGAGAGAAAGAGTTGCGACACTCCCATAGACCGCCAAATGAACTTTGGAATGCGGAAGTAACGCGTGTCGTGGAGCAGCCAATAGTTCCAAACACTGATAGTTTCTCCATTGAACCCCATTCATTTTCAGTGCTTCCGAAGTACGCTCGCTGGTAAATTAATGAAATTACTGTATTTTTTTTTTACTTTTACACACATTAGCCGACCTCTCGTGAATCTAGTCTGTAGTTATATTTTATGTAGCCAGTTTTAGTAAATGTTTATTGGAAGATAATAGGTTAAAGGGATAGTTCGGCCAAAAATGATATTTAACACATGCATTACTCACCCTCAAGCCGTTCGAGATGCATATCTCAATCTTGTTTCAGACGAACACATTTTCAGTTATTTTAGAAAATGTCTTAGACCCTTCAGTGGATATAATGTGAAGCAATGGGGTCCACCTCCTTCAAGTCCCAAAATGTGCATACATCCTTCACAAAAGTAATCCATCCGGCTCCAGGGGGATAAACGAAGGCCTTCTGAGGGTAATCCGTGCGGTTTTGTCGTAAAAATATACATATTTAAAACTTTATAAATAAAAATATCTGACTTCCGGCAACGATCGACGCGCGTTCACGGGTGATGGAAGTCGGCGTACGAGGTAGGACGTACCGTAGGAACCGTCGTGACGTAGAACGAACGCGCCTGCGCAGCCAGAGAGCAGAGCCAAAGTCCTTTTAGGCAAGTAATGCCACTCGGCCGCCATCTTGGCAACGCCTCCGGGCAGCTATTTCGGACTAACAAGACCAGGCTCCTATCTAAATGAATGGGCAGAGAGTCAGAACTGCAGTTTCACTG